CGGCTCTCTGGGCAGAGGCTGGGCTGGGTGCCACCAGACCCATGGCCATCTCTCACCTGGCCCAGGAGCGTCCTCTTCAACCCCGACGGCTGTTGCCTGTACAGTGGCTGCCAGGACTCACTACGTGTCTATGGCTGGGAGCCCGAGCGCTGCTTCGATGTGGTTCTCGTCAACTGGGGCAAGGTGGCCGACCTGGCCATCTGCAATGACCAGCTGGTGAGAGCACCACGGCACCCATCAGTCACCTGCCTGCATCCATCCCATGTCCCCCGACTCCCACTCCAGCTGGGATTTGGTTCCTCTGGCCCCAAGCACAGCCCCAGCTCTGCCACTTCCTACAGATAGGCGTGGCCTTCTCCCAGAGCAACGTCTCCTCTTACGTGGTGGATCTGACGAGGGTCACCAGGACAGGCACAGTGTCCCAAGACCCTGAGCAGGACAACCATCTCCTGGCACAGCTACCACCGAACCCCACTGCCCCCCTCCGACGTATCTATGAGCGGCCCAGCACAACCTGCAGCAAGCCTCAGAGGTGGGGCACAGGGGGCCCTTAGAGGATAGGGGTATGTAGGAGCAGGCCCATCACAGGGGGTCCCGGCCTGGGGCCTCACGGGGGCCCTGCTTCCTTTCGGCCTGGCCCTGCACCCCAGGGTAAAGCACAACTCAGAGAGCGAGCGCCGCAGCCCCAGCAGTGAGGACGACCGGGATGAGCGGGAGTCGCGGGCAGAGATCCAGAATGCCGAGGACTACAATGAGATCTTCCAGCCCAAGAACAGCATCAGTGAGGCTGGCTGTCCCCCTCCCCTCAGCCCAGTGTCCCCATCTGTGAAATGGAAGTGGAGGCTCCTTCCTGGGGATGTCGCTTCATGTCCCTTTAGCCTCATCCCTAACCCACACTGGGGCCCAGGCCCTCTGTCCTCACGCTCCTGTGGGAATGAGGGAGGAACCTGGGTGCTCCTCAGCAGAGCCCTGGTTGCTGCTAAGTGCTCCAGCCCTGCCCTGAGCACCGGGGGATGGCCTGTGGGGCAAGCGAGCTGGGAGGGGCAGGGCCAAGGGTTCATGGGACCTGGAACAGGGTCAGGGGTCTGCAGCTATGTGCATGGGCACCCCCCCCAATTCCCCACATTCAAATGGAGCCCTGGGTCCCCGTCAGCCCACCCAAAGGCCTCACACACAGGAGACCCCTTTACCTCTGCAGGTCGTACGCCACCTCGGAGAAGTGACCCCTTCCCAGCACCCCCAGAGGACGGTGAGTGGGGTCAGAACTTGGCCTCCCAGGCTTTCAGTCCCCACCTGACAAGACCCTCCCTTCCCCTGACCCACCCCCAAGGCCTCCCTCTCATGGCACCTTCTCCAGCCTCCGGTCTAAAAGGACCTACTATGTGCTGGGCCCCATGCAAGGCCCTGGTGACTGAGCATAAGCAAGGCAGGCAGGTCGTGCCCTCAGGAGCCCACATCTGATGTGTGGAGAGCAGACAGCCACACAGATGATCTGCCAGGGTGGGGGGATGTGTGCTGCAGGGGACTATAGGGGACAGAGGAGGCCCTAGGAGCCTGCTGTAGATGGAGGCAGGGCAATGAGGAGGCTTCATGTCAGCTAAGGCCTCTCCAGGCAAGGAGAGGGGAAGGAGGGCCCCAGGTGAGAAGGGAGCTGCTAGGAGGGATGGGAACCTGGGGATGGAACTGGAGGGAGGCCAGGCCCACAAGACTCTAGCAGGGGGGTTAGGATTTAAGGAGGGAGCAAACTTCTGCTTTATGACTAGAGAAGGGAAAAGGCTGGAGCACCCTCGTCCCAGGTCCAGCCCTGCCCCATTCTGGCCAGTCACTGGCCTGACCAGTGACCTTTTTGTTTTGCCTCCAGACATAGCCACAGCCAAGGAGGCTACAAAGCTCAGCCCAGCCATGGATGTGCAGTTCCCAATGCCAAATGTATGTCTGGTGGAGTGGGCATGGTGTGGGGCTCTCAGAGGGGATGGAGTTAGGGGACCCCCATGTTGGGAGGCAGAGCAGGCTAACTGCTGGGCTTTGGACCTCTTCAGCTTGATGCCCCACCTGGGTCCCCGGTTGTCACTTCCACACCTACACCCAAGGCCGAGCCAGCCATCATTCCTGCGACCCGGAACGAGCCCATTGGGCTAAAGGCCTCTGACTTCCTGCCTGTAAGTGGGGGCCCAGCCCAGTGGGTGGCGTGTAGGCCCGTGGGTGAGGGCAGAACTTTGCTGTCTGCTCCCGTGCCAGCATCTGGGCACCTGTCCCACACAGGCTGTGAAGGTCTCCCAGCAGGCAGAGCTGGTGGATGAGGATGCCATGTCACAGATCCGCAAAGGCCATGACACCATGTGTGTGGTGCTCACTAGCCGCCACAAGAACCTGGACACCGTGAGGGCCGTGTGGACCACAGGCGACATCAAGGCAAGTGTTCACCCCACATTCTCATCACACCACAACTTCTTTCCCATCATTATGATCACAAGCTACTTTTATTGAGCACCTCCTTGCAGGCCAGCCTTGTGCTCATCTTATTAGGTGCAGTCTTGTTAATACCCTCGACTAATGCTATCAGCCCCGCACACCCACACCCACCCGGGCCACACTGCCCCCACCCCCTGAGAGAGCTCTGTTTGCACAGACATCAGTGGACTCTGCTGTGGCCATCAATGACCTGTCGGTGGTGGTGGACCTCCTGAACATCGTCAACCAGAAAGCGTAAGTGGCCACAGCAGGAGAGTGGGTGGAGAGGGGAGGAGGAGGGTGGAGCTGACGGTGCCCTGTCTGGCCTCCCCCAGCTCGCTGTGGAAGCTGGACCTGTGCACCACAGTGCTGCCACAGATTGAGAAGCTGCTGCAGAGCAAGTATGAGAGGTACGTGTGGGCGGTGGCGCCTGCTGCTGCAGAGGCAGGGGAGAGGCAAGAAGCCTTCTCCGGGGCCCACAGGGCCTGTGACGGGGCTGTGAAGTACTGCTTCCCCCTCCCTGGTCCAGAGGGGTCAAGGCGGGAACGAGCCTGTGTGCATGCCTATAGCTGCCTCTGCTTGTCTTTCTGTCCGCCTCTTGCCCATCTGTTTGTCTGTGGCTCTTGGTCAGTCTGTGACTTTGTCCATCTCCATCCGTCTGCCCCTGAAGCTATGTCCAGACAGGCTGCACCTCCCTGAAGCTGATCCTGCAGCGGTTTCTGCCCCTGATCACTGACATCCTGGCAGCGCCACCCTCTGTGGGTGTGGATATCAGTCGAGAGGAGAGGTGAGGAACAGGGGTCAGGTGGCATGTGTGTGTCTGGGGTAGGAGTGCCATGACAGGCAAGGGGACATAGGCCTGGGCCTCACTTGTTGATAGCCGTGTGGAACAGCTCATAGAGGGGGACACTTGTGTCTGGGGCAGCAGGCGTAGCTGGAGCTGGCTTCCTTCATGGCCTGGCTGTGCTCCCAATCCCTGACATGGTGGGTCCTGTGCTCTGGGCCACCACCTTTGCCTGAGAGGGGGTGCTGGGTGGTTAGGACAGCAGGGCCCAGAGGTGGGTGGGAGTCCTGGTGGCAGCTGACCCCCTCAGGCACTGTCTCTCTGCCATAGATTGCACAAGTGCCGGCTCTGCTACAAGCAGCTCAAAAGCATCAGTGGCTTCGTCAAGAGCAAGTCCGGCCTGAGCGGCCGCCACGGCAGTGCCTTCCGTGAGCTGCACCTGCTCATGGCCAGTCTGGACTGAGGAACTCAGCAGGTGGGCATCTGGCAGCCCACAGGGCCTGGTCTCAGCCCCAACTCCTGTTCCCTGTGCGCCACCGGCCCTGAGCCTCTGCCTGGGCCTGCTGCCGCCCCTGGTGGCAGCGCTGGCCCACTGGCCACCTCCACAGCCCTGGAACTCTGAGACAACGTTCTCTCCAGCAATGGCTGCCCAGCTTTACCCAACTGTTGCTTCTCTTGGGGCAGCGAACTGAGCCCTGGGGCTGCTGCTGTAATTTATAAGGCAAATTTTATTAAATTTGTAACTAGTCCCTGGTTTCCTTTTGGGGAACATTATCTCTGGCCATGAGACTCTCCCAGGCCCAGGAGTGCCTGCCCTGGGCTCTTCTGAGATGAGACACTGTCCCTGAGGCCCTGTGGGCTATGTGCCCAGCAGGGGGCAGCAGAGTGCAAGAGCTGCCAGGATGGGCCAGTCCAGCCCAACTGGGCAGGACAGAGAGACAGAAACCATCCTCAATGACTGGGAGAAACAGGTGAGGGGTGGCCCCCACCAGCCCATCCCCCACCTCATCTCAGTTATCCTCCAGACTCCTCCAAGGCGGGCAGACACCCAGACCCAACAGCTGTAACCACAGGATGCAGACCCCAGCCATGCATGCTGGCCCAGAGCTCGATACCCTCCCAGTCCCCCAGTGCTACCAAGGGTAGGGCTGAAAGGATAGCTGGCACCTCCTCTGAACAGTTTTCTTTGCTCTCCTTGCCAGGGCCCTTAGTGTGGGGCCAGAGTGGGTCCCCTGCCCTCGCTGGGGGGTCTAGCCCCAGTCAGAGAGGGAAGATCCCACTGAGCCCTTCCACAGGTTCCCCTAAGGCAGAGACCTGATACAGGCCAGTCCAACCCCACAGTGGGTGAGGAGGGCTGCTCCGGTGGGCAGGGTCCTCCAGGCCCTAGGAAGAAGGTAGGGCTCATTTTGGGCCAGGGCAGAGGGTGGGCAATGATGCCAGGCAGCAGGGCTAGAAGCCCAGCCACGATTTTGTCCAGGCTATGAGCCTATGATGCTCTCTTGAGCCTTAGTTTTCCATCTATAACCTGGAATTGATGCCACCACTGGCTGGGTCGGTTACTGTAGGGACATAGTAGGTAACTGACCATAACAACAGAAGTTACCCAGGGTAGAAAGCAGTGCTGGCTCCCCCTCCAGGGTTCCGGACACGTGCTCCTGGTCTGCATGTTGACTAGCCGGCAGTGCAAGTCCACAGGGTGTGCCAATGTCCTGTCCCCCCATGGTTGGACTGAGCGGGACTCACAGAATCAGACTATACTTGTGTAAAAAGGCTTTTATTTTAGTAAGTAAAAATGGCTAAGTTTCCAAAAGTTCTTAAATAGGATTTCAGAGGGAGGAAACTGTCAAGAGGACAGTGAGCAAGGAGAGCCTGGTGCCCAGCAGAGGAGGGGGCCACAGAACCCTACCCACTGGTCTCCTGCCAGCCATAAATACAGCTCAGCCCGTGCAGGAGAGCCACGCTCTATGTACACCTAGGAACACTATGTACACACCCAGCTGTGGGATCCCCTCCTTGGGGGACAGTGGCCGGTGCCACCAACCTGCCCATGGCTCCTGTGCCTGCCTAGAGGCTCCTCAGTACACCCTAAGGAAAGTGTCCGGCCATGCCAGCTGGGGAGGGGAGTTGGGCCAGCCTGGGTGAGGTTCTCCACATCCCCAGCCCAGGTGAGAGGCCCACTTCCTACATACTCCTGCCCCCTACCCTGAGGGCCCAGCTTTCTGGTGGCCCAGGCCTGCCCTCCAGCCCACGCCATTTGCACCAGAGCCACAGCCAAGAGCCACTGTTTCCTTCTGAACGTGTTTCTCGTCTGAGGGGAGACAGGACAGAAGAGGAGCCTCCACTGTGGTCCCCGCCTCTTGGGGTCCTGGCGCTACAAGAGGAGCGGACCAGCAGGCCTCAGGGAGCAGCTCCTGATCCATAGGCAGGCTCATCCATCACACAGGCACCGGCCTCGACTTCCCTGCAGGAGCAGCAGGATCATCAGCCTCTTGTCCCCTTACTTGTGGGTGGCAGCACACAGCAGGTGCAGCCGAGAGCAGGGAGCCCAGCAGAAGCACATAGACAAACAGGCAGCAAAAGGATGGCCCCAGCCTGAGCAGCTTAATTCCCCAGCACAGCCCTAAAACCCATGGCAGGCAGGTGGGTGGGCGGGCAGCCCTGGGCCGCTGGCCCCACACTCACCTATAGACTCTGCAGCCCTAGCCGTCAGGCTGAAATCAAAGTGACAGGTGTCTCACTGGTGAGCTTGCCTCGGGCCAGGACCCCGTAGGAGTCTACTGCCCATACCCCTTGGGACTCAGGGACTGGCCAGGCTCTTCCATGAGTAGGGCCAAACAGAGACTGGAGCCCTCAATCTAGTCCTGTGGGGGTTCCCTCCTCATCAGGGACATGGGCCAGCCCGAGGCCTGGGGCAGGGGAATACCAGACCTGCTCTGGAAGGGTGATACCCAGGGGTAGAGGAGATTGTAAAACAAGTTTCTGGAGAAGTTATATAAAGTTTTAAAAAAGAAAAAAAAGAAAAGAAAGGCCATCCAGGTAAGGCAGCCTGGTTACCCTGCGGGGAGGCTCCTCCACCCACCAGGCCCACTCCCTCCAGGCTCACCAGAGGGCTGCAGCTTCCTACGGATGGAGCCAGGACGGCTTGTGGGCCCAGAGCTGGGGGCCGAATGGGCTCGTGCTGAAGGCTGTGGCGTCTGGCAAGCTGGCTCCCACTGTGAGTAGGGAAGGGCAGGTGAGCAGGGACCCTGGCTGCCTCCCACTGCCCCACTGTGCTTCCTTCAACTCATCTGTAGAATGGGCGGCATTATGATTTGCTGTGCTTCAGTTATTACAAGGATTAAATGAGATAATGAACATAACATGAGTGTCCTAGTTTAAGTCTGAGCACTGCGTACCGGGCCTGCAAACCATCCCAGGACCTGCTGACCACCCAAGGGGTACCTGAGGCCAAAAAGGAATACTTGGACTACAGAGGCTACTGAGTCTGGTTCAAGTTCCAGCCCCTACTACCACTTCAGGCGGTCCTCACAGGCACATCCTTCTGCCCATCACCCTGTCTCTGAGACAGGCTGGTAGAGGTCCACATACCTCTAAATGTTCCTGGCTTGACCAGGACCCCAGCTCTGCCCGGCGTGGGCCAGGGCCCAGCTCCACAGAGCGCACCCTCTCGGCAAACTTGAGGGAATAGAGCGTCTCGCTGGTGTTCTTCTCCACGGGGGACACCTAGGGGATGCGAGAGTTCACTGCCCACCCTGGCCAGCTGGCCACCCCCACAGAAGTGGAGGGGGCAGCACAGCCACCAGAAGCTGGCATCTCTTCTGGCCCAGGGATGCCAGAAGACTTCTCAGACAAGACTGAGAGAGACAGCCAGAGGGCAATCAAGATGGCAGATTTAATGCAGTCAAGGGTCTGAGGTACAAAGGTGCGTGTGGCCAGGGTGGTGGGGGTCAAGAGGAGGGGAGGGTTCCTGTCACTGACTCAACTGCTGACATGAGCCCTTTTGCAGAGCCTGGGGTGTCTGAGTCTGGGTGCTGGCCATACCCCTAGGCCCTCACCTGCACCACCATAAGGGTCTTGCTGTCACCACTGAGTGAGTCCTGCAGCAGGTAGGTGAGCTTGGAGTTGCGGAAGGGCACATGGCCCTGGCGGGAGCGCAGGGCAGCAATGACATCCCCCAGGGCCGACAGCGACTTGTTGATGTGCTGAGCCTCTCGCAGGCGGCTGCCCTCAGCCCCAGACTTGCCCACACGCTCCGAACCCGCCAAGTCCACCAGGTTCAGCTTCCCTGCAGAGAAGGCACCAGGCAAACAAGGCTGCCTGGGGAAGGGGGGCGGGCGACATAGCGGTCCTCAGGCCAGGCTGCCCGTCACCCCCTCTTACCCGTGGTGCGGAGGCCCGTGCTGCAGTCCACGCCATGCACGGTCACAATGAGCAGTGCATGTGAGCGGGAGCTGTGCTCGTTCAGGTTGGTGAACTCCGTAGTGCGGTTCGTATGGCCAAATTCAAACACCTGGCAGGCAGATTGGGAGGGGAGGGCAAAGGCATAGGATTTAGAATGGGGTCTTCAGAATCACCCTGTCCCCCGAGTACCCCATGAGGTCTGGTGTCACCCTCCAAGTTTTAGATGAGGAAATTGAAGCTTAGGCATGGGGACTTGCCTGAGGACACACACCTGGGACTCCACAGAACCTGCATGTGAACGAGGTTCTGTCCTCTGAGCAGCTCTGCTGTGGGCAAGGTCTCCCCACATCCCCCCACCCCCAGCAGCCCCACACCTTGTTGATGTCATCCACACTCTGCACCCGGAACTCAGTCAGCCCTGGCACATATAGCTGCCCGCTCCCATCTGGGCACAGCCGGATCTCTAGTTTCTCCTGAGGCTCTTTCCCCAGCAGGTCCCTGGAGGGGTAGGGGGGGACAGTCACTTCCTCCTCCTTTCTGGGCCCTGCTTGCACTGTGCCCAGCCCATCACACCTCCAAGGCGGTAGTCAGGCTGAGCCCACTGTCCTCTTCTAGCTCCCCTCCTGCACTGAACTGAGCTCCAGAGACGTGTGGATGGTGCTGTTCCCGCCTCCCAATGGGCAGGGCTCCCAGCTGCCCAGTCTCATCTTTGTCACCTGTGCAGCCCACAGGCAGGGGAAAAGGAGTGTCTGGGGCTGGGCCTCCTAGGCAAGCTTAGAGATAGCCCCTCCTCTCCACCAGGGACCCCCAGCCCCGTGGGCCTAGCGAGGCTTCTTCTGCCCCTGGGCCTCTCACCTGAGGATCTCATTGTAGATCTCCGCCGCACTGACGGTGATGGTGTATTCCCAGTCGGATGCCTTCTCCTGCACCTCCGAGAAGAGCAGCTGCAGGGCCCGCTGGTTAATGCCAGGGTTCTCCAGGGTCCCCTGGGCAGGAAGAAAGGCCCCAGTGAGCCAGGCCTCTCCCCTCCACTAGGGGGGAGCTGTACACTCACATGGCATCCATCACCCCCAGCCCCCACTTGCATGCCAGTCTACTCTCCAAAATATCAAATACCAGGTGCAAGCAACTTCACCTCCCTGGGCCTCAGTTTCCTCATCTTTAAAATGCCATCACCTCCCAGACCTGAGATTTAGAGCCCTGGGGTAAAGGATCTGGCCCTGCTGGGCTACCTGGGAGCAGGCACTGGAAATAAATGAATTCCTTGCCACTGCCTAGAGGAGTCTCAATGCCAGGTAGGCCATGAACCTAGCAGATCCAGGCAGAGGGGACATCTGGCCTGGGGCTGGACAGGCTGGCTGCCTTTCTAGTGGGGAATCTGGAGTCCCCACCTGGGACCTTGAGGGACTGGAAAGTCCGACCCTCTCCTCTGATAGCACCTCCCCAGGAAGGCTGCCCCCACACCCCCAAATCCCTGCCCCTCCCTCCCAGTTCTTCATCCTCAGCTTTATTCCTCCTGGGCACCTGACTGATGTGCTTTGCACTCACTGCTGTCTCCCATTGCCAGGTTGGCTCTGTGGGGGGGACAGGGGCTCTATTCCAGTCACAGCTATGCCCTGCTGCCTAGCACGAGGCCTGACACACCCCAGACACGCTCAGCAGCCATGCTTGGCAGACAGGGTCACCTCAACTCTAAGCAACCCCAAACAGCTGGGACCCAGGAGGGGCTGTGCACACCTGCACCCCCTTGGCCTGCCCCCACTTGCCTACCTCACTAATCCTAGAACTGAGGGAGAAGCATGGTCCAGATGGGGAGAAGGGGCCACCATGGCAGGCTCCTCAGAGGGTGCTAATAGCCCTCTCCTCTTACCCAGACACTGAGTGCCTGCCCTCATCCCCGACCCAGGGAATCTCACAGCTCCCTCAAGAGCCAGGGACATGGTCAGATGCCAAAACATCTGCAGGGGCCCGCTCTCCCATGCTCTCTATCCACAGTCAAGCTTCTTCCTGGTCCTGTTCCCTGCCACTCATGGAGGAGGACTGGCTATAAGTAGGGAAATGAAGTCCCTCACGAGCTGCAGGCTAAGAGCTGGGCTTCCCACAACAGACTTCACGTGGCCGCTCTTTCCTTGAGAGCCTTCCCCAGGCCCAGCACAAGGCAGCCATAATGCAGGAGGGCCCTCCTTTGTTCCCCAGCCTGCAACTGTCCCAGTTCTGCTGATACCATCACAAGTGCTCTCAGGCAAAGTAGCCCCTCCCCAGGCCTGTGCCCCAGGGGCTAACACAGATAACTACAGCCTCTGCTTCTGGAGGCTGGTAGGGCCAAATGAAGCACGACACCCCCAAGACCAATGCGGGAGTTCCATCTACAGCAGTGGGGGTTGTCCTCTCTCGGAATCTCTGACCCACTGACGGGCACCCACCTCCATCGTGTACGTCTTTCCAGCACCTGTCTGTCCGTAAGCGAAGATGCAGACGTTGAAGCCGTCAATGCAGGAGGTGATCAGGGCTTGTACCTCCTGGAACACCTGGGAGGGAAGGAGGGAGGGAGGCTGGAGAATGGGGAGTTTCCAGGGTCACTAGGACCAGGGGCCCACTATCAGAGGCAAATCCACCCACCTCCTCTGACCACACTCTCCTTGAGCGGTAACACAGCACATGTGACTGCAGTCACCTGATGACTAACAAGTCATTTGCCTTAGACATTAGAGGCAACCTGGCTAGCAAGACTGGATGGTGCCCACCTTTCCCAACCTCACAGAATACTTAGTAAGATGACAGCAGAGACTGGCATATGCCTGGCCTGGCTTGCCTGCCAGTGGACAGAGGATAGGGGAAAGGTGGCAGAGCCAGACACAGAAACAGGAGGGCACAGGCAAGACAGGCCCAGCAGGTTGGTCTGGGCAGGGATGAGATGCTGAGACACGTGGTTCTCAGACAGCTGAGGGCCCAGCACTGGGAGCCAGGCTGGGAGGCCCCGAGAAAGGCCTATGGGACTGATAGGGGAGGGTATTCCCTGGTGGAAGAGGCCCAGAGGCACATGAGTAGGAGAGGCCATGCCCAGATCTCTCCTTGAGGCCCTCAATCTTAGCTTCCCACCTGTCTCCGCCACAGGAGAGGGACCCCGGCTTCTCGCATCTCAATCCTGCCCCCCTCCCACTCTGACGCTTCTTTCTCCCTGTGCAGAAACTCACATCCTGCTGTGATGCTCGTGGGGAGAAGACCTTGTCCAACTCGAAGGACACAGGCTTGCCCTTGTGCAGCAGATGGATGATGGAGTCGTCATCAGGATCAAAGGTCACAGCATTGGTTGCCTCGGGTCCTTCCCCATCTTCTTTGGTGACTGGCCGGACACGAGCGATCACTCGGATGTTCCCTGGATTGGTTGAGGATGAAGAGATGGGCCCAGGCAGGGTTAAGACCAGACAACCTCTACTGAGACCCTGGTGGCCTAGGGGTCCCTTGCCATGTAAGAAAAGTCCCACAGGACAAGGTGACCTATAAAGCTGTTATCAGTCATTCACACTATAGTGTAAATTCATTTAGTACATTTTCTTCCTAAGTAGACTAGCTGAGGGTATGAACTTTGCCTTGGGGATAGGGAGGAGAAGCTAAGTGTCCAGCTCAGCACTATTCCAATTCTGAATGAGACACCAAAATGGATATCTGGATTTGTTTCCTCAGCTATGTGATGAGGGCCTTGGGCCTGTGAGCCAAGGGACTTGTTTCCTCAGTCTAAAAGGGCACCATCAATGCCAGCCAGCACAGGACCAGACAGCAGGTGGATGACTGGCAGGGTATCAAAGGAACAGGGTATTTGGCAGCATGAGCTCATCATGCCACCCATTACTTCCAGCCTTTGGGTGGAATCCCCATGCTCCTGGAATGAAGAGAAAATCCCTGCACAGCCTCACCCTCCCTCCTCCCCATCCACTCCAGCATGCCCCTAATGCCCCTGTCTGTCCTAGCCCTGTAATAGGGCAGTGTTATGGTTCTCTGGGTGATCAGTGGTCACTGTCCATTCTCCCAGCTAACATGAGCACCGTGTGGCCATCTGTGGGTCCTCAGTGTTTGCAACAACCCTGGGCATAAAGCAGACACTCCCAGACCTCTGTGCAGTGAATGGTGAAGTCCCAAGCTTGACCAGACCCCCAGATCAAACAAGTGGCATTCCAGCCAGCCACTACCCAGGGCTCCAATACCACACCCCTTAGCTACTGAGGGCCTGGGGAGTAACCTGCCATGGGCATCCAGGCAGTGGCTTCAAGTTTGAATCCAAGGTGGACCGTTTACTAGCCATGTGGCTTACGGCAAGTTCCCTGATTTCTCTATGCCTCCGTTTCCTTATCTATAAGAGCAGGATTGATTATAAGAGCTCCTATACCCAGGATGACTGCCAAGTCAGGCTGAGGATCCCTGTGCCGGAACCGCCCTATCCCGCTGCATCACCTTTCAGCCGCACCAGCTCATTGTGGCACTTCTTGCGCAGCTGCAGCTCCCGGCGGTACTTGCGCAGCAGTTCCTGGTTGTTGCTGTTGACCTCCTCGATGGCCTGGCCTATCTGATGGGAGACGCACACTGCTGTCAGGGGCTGCTCTGTCAGCCTTGCCTGCCTCACTGCCCATCCTGGGCTGAGTGTTTGACACGTGCTGTCATGTGTCAACCTATCCCGATCACCTCTCTGGGTAGGTACTGCTGCACTCCCCACTTTACAGAGGAAGAAACTGAGCCCCAGCGAGGTTAAGCCAATAGCTCAAGCTGTGAAGAAGCTAAAGCCAGGATTCAGCTTTCACCCCATGGCACTCCCACTTGACTCTGATTTGCCTGGACTCAAATTCTAGCTCTACCCCTGAGTAGCTGGGGGACTTGAGACCACTTGCTTAATTTTCTCATCTGTAAAATGGGGATAATTCCTCCTAACTCATGAATCTGTAAAGAGCTGGTAGGTAAAGATCTCCCAGTTACATTTCATGGTTGGGGAGAAGCAAGATGCAAGACCACATGTGCAGTATGTTGGGGTGAAAGGAAAGTGTATACAGTTGTCCCTTGGTATCGGTGGAGGATGGGGCCCAGCTGCAGACACCACAATCTGCAGATGCTTGAATCCCTGATATAAAATGGCACAGAATCTGCCTATAACCTATGCACAACCTCCATATACTTTATTTACTTACTTCAGAGTGGGGTCTCCCTCTGTTGCCTAGGCTGGAGGGCAGCAGTGGGATCATAGCTCATTGCAGCCTTGAACTCCTAGGCTCAAGAGATCCTCCTGCTTCAGCCTCTCAAGTTGCTGGGACTACAGGCATGAGCCACTGCACCCAGCCTCTGTATACTTTCAATCACCCCTAATGATTATTAAACCTAATATAATGGAAATGTTATTAAATAGTTGTTATACTATATTAGTTTTTTCTTTTGTTTATTGTTGTATTATTAATTTTTTTCCAAATATTTTCAAGTTGTGGTTTGTTGACTCTGAGGATGTGGAATCTGTGGATGCAGAAGCCCCACTGTACACCTCTACGTATACACCAATAGGCTTAACTGTGCTCAGAACACCCTGGGGCAGGGGATGCAGAGACAGGCTGCCTTAGGGGAGTGGGGCAGGGCAGGGTGGCAGAGGGGCCTTTCTTATTCACCCGATGCTTTTTTTTTTAAAGACAGAGTTTCATTCTCTGCCCTGGGTAGAGTAACTGTGGTATCATAGCTCACAGAAACCTCAACTCCTGGGCTCAAGCAATCCTTTGCCTCAGCCTCCCAAGTAGCTGGAACTACAGGCACCCGCCACAATGCCTGGCTAGTTTTTCTACTTTGGGAGGGTGTGGGGATCTTACTCTTGCTCAGGGTAGTCTCAAACTCCTGTGCTCAAGTGATCCTCCTGCCTCAGCCACCCAGAATGCTAGGATTACAGGCATGAACCATCACGCCCAGCCACCTGATGCTCTTTTGAAGGGTTGAACTTTACACCATGTCCATGTATTACTGATGTAATAATTTTTTTAAGGAGAAGAACTATTTTCTATTCCTAAAATATATTAGTCTCTGCAGAACTGTCATACAAATTCAAGGAGCCATCGGCTATAAAAGGCTCAACTCGTAGGAGGCACTTAAACAACATTGGCTATTCTCATACTGTACAAGTACAGCCTTAAAAAATTAAATCTCACAGATACATGTTTGAATATTTTTGAGATAAACGTTAACAGGTCTGGTCTACTCACAGTAAAACAAATACCTGCCCCTGACCAGTCTATTTCAAACATTACCTCTAAGGGCAGCAGTGTAGGGGGTGTTGCCTGGGGGGCTTTGTCTGAGTTTGGGGAGGGAACCCTGGTGGGCACTGTGTCTGCTTGAGCTTTAGACCTCTTCCCGGTGCAATACCCCCCACACACAGCCTATGGCCTGCAGTCATCCACTCGCTGCCTGGCTCACCTCTGCCTTGACGCTCCTGAGTGCCTCCTGCAAAAGCAGCGGGAAACTGCGCACCTGCCGCTTGAGCCCGTTGTAGTCGTGAGTGAGGGTCCGCAGTGCTGGCTGCAGCGTCAGCAGGTTGGCCCGGACACCTATGGGGACCCAACGGGTGTGAGGCAGATGGGGACCGTGGGACAGAGGAGCAAGTGGGCAGGAGTCAGGGCCCGGCAGGCCAGCTCACCTGCCAGGTTCTCGTGCACCGCCTTCATCTCCACCTGGGCTCTAGCAAAGGCCTCCTCTATGGCTCGGTTCTTATCCTCCTCCAGCGACTGCATCTCCTCCAGCATCTGCCCGTGTGCCCGCTCTAGCTCTGACTCATACATGGCAATCTGGCAGCCAGGCCAGGAGAAGGCTCAGTACCATGGGGCACGGGAGGGAAAGAAGCCCCGCCGCTCACCTCACATGCCTGTGAACACTCAGGGACACACGCATGGAGTAGAGAGCTAGAACGGCCTACTCTCTCCCTCCCTCGACGGGCTTTGAGCTCTGTGCAATGGTCACCTCCCTGCATTAGCTCCAGCACCAACACAATCCCAGGTATGTACCAGATGCACAAGCCCTGTGCCCCAGAAGAGCAGGGAAGTACGTGTGTTGTGACAGTGACAAGAGCAGCAGTGGAGTTTACTGAGCATAGCCTGTGTGCTGGGCCCTGGGCAAAGAGCCTTTGAGCCTTTGGGGATCATGCTCTTGAGTCCTCACTATGAAGCAGGTTCTAGAACCAGATCACATTATAGATAGGGAAATAGAGACCTAGACAAAACTCGCCTTTGGTCACATGGCCATCAAGGAGAGGCAGGATTGGACCTCAGGTTGTGTTGGGTCCCAACCACTTAACCGCACTGTCCTAAAGGCCCCCTGCTAGAGGCCTGGGTATGTCCCCACAGCCTGCACACCTGTGCCCGGAGCTGCATGGTCAGCTGATGCGAGCTCTGCAGCTGCTGCTCCATCTCCTTCAGCACCTGCCTCTGCATGGCCACCTGCTCCTGCAGGTGCTGGTTCCGGGTCTGGGACTCACTGAGAGCCTGCTTCGTCTTGGGTGACTCCACCTCCACCGTCTTGATGACATACTGCAACGTGAGAGAGGGATGAGCACTTGGGACCATCTGGGCACCCTGACCTCACCCCAGACCCTGAAACACTGACAGCCATGGGAAGGGACCATGAGGAACATCCTTTAAGAGCCCTAGAAAAAACTGGAAAAGCCTTAAGGTCCTGGCTTTGCAAAAGCTACAGGATGTTCTTAAATCTTCTCCTCTTAATGAGAGCCGACTATAGGCCTGGCTGTGGCCCCAGCCTACATACAGAACAGACCAGAAGGGCAAAGATGAAAGCAGAATGCAGAGGCCATGCTGAGTCTGCGCTTGGCACACGGAGGCACCTTGCTTCAGGATGCCTACTCCATGTCTGGCCCTGGACAGCAGGAAGGGGAGGGGCAAGGCCAGGCACAGAAGCAGGATGATCCCTTCATCAGCTCGTACCTCCTCATGTTCCAGGACCTCTTACAGCCAGCCCTGCCCTGGGCACCAGGGGCCAAGAGCCGAGGCACAGGTCAGCTTGCACAGGGTACCACCCTTGGCTGCCCAGGCCATAGCTCACCTTGACAGGTGGGGACTGGGCCCGCAGGCTGGCAATAGTCTCATGGCTGTCACGCAGGCGCCGGCTGAGCCGCTCCTCCTCCTGCGCCTTCTCAGCCAGGCAGTCTTTGAGCCGCAGCTCCACCTCTGCCAGCCGGTCAGTCTTCTGCTGCACCTCCAGGTTCAGCTCTGACAGCATGCCTTTGTTCTCTGCCACCTCCAGCTGCAGCTGGGACAGCTTGTCGCGGAGCTGGGCACTCTCCTGCAGAAGGGGTCGCCGTTAGGAGCTGGGGTCACCATCAGGGGCCGAGCCCTCCAGGAGCAGGGCTCGGGCCGCAGGTGTCCACTCACCTGGCTGTGCTCACAGCCTGGGCAAGGGGCCACTGGTGTCGCCCGCAGCTCCTGTAGCTCGGCCTCACAGCGCCGCATCTCCTCCCTCAGCCGCTCATTCTCCACCATCAGCAGGTCCCGGTGCTTCTCCAAGTCAGTGCCCCCCTGCAGAGAAGTAGAGCTGAGGGGGCGCATGTGGCAGGGGAGAGAGGAGAGGCAAGGTGAGCAAGAGAGACATGCTCAATAGAGAAACCGAGAGCGAGGCAGTGGGGGAGCGAGACGGAGTAAAGCAGGGCCTGCTCTCCCACCGCACCCACCCCTCGCTCTATTTTCCTGAGTGTGAAAGTAACAAGAAGTCATATTTATAATAGAGTTCACACTCCCATTTTACGGTGGCAAATGAGCATTCACCTCCCTCCCCTCAGAGTCACTGGGTGGATAAGGACTCTGGGTGAGTTTCTGAGATGGGGTGGGACCTGCGGGCTGGGAGAGATGGGGTCTTGCCTTGCACAGGCCAGGCCAGTCCCCCGCCCCACCTCAGGACGGCATTGTGGCGCCTCACCAGCTCTGATCGGAGACGACTCACTTCCTGGGCCTGGCTGATGAGCTTCTCCTTCAGGCTTTCCACCTGCCGACAAAAAGCCAGGGTCAAGATGAGCCCTAGTCCCCTCTCCCCACCCACGCCCTGGCTCCTCACCCGGCACCAGAGGTGAGCTATGTGTCTTGTCAAGGCCCTTCTGATTCCCACAGCCTTGGACCTTCTCCCTGCATTCAAGCACCAGGTCACACCTGGCACCTCAGGTGAGAAAAACTGCTCCTGGTCCTGACACCTCTCTCCTTGTAGGACCAGGTCTGGAGAGCAAGTGAACCAAGGGGAGCCTGACTCCACCCTGGGCCCACCCAGGGGACCCCTCCCTTGGACGGGCTCCTTCAGAGGCCCTGTACTGTACCTGCCTTTCTATGTAACTTCACATTCTCTTTAAAAGGGCCCTCAACTGTGTAAACTCCAGGCCCTACAGTCCCTAGACACATTGTTGTCCAGGCACCAGAATTCTCCACTTTGAGTGGTTCCCAGCAAGTTGGTCTAGGGAGATGGGTTTCCAGCAGCCAGGGAACATTTGGGACTTGTGTCTGCCCCAGCTCCTCATCTGCTTTGCAGAAGAGCTGGCCAGGCAGGCAGTCAGAAAGAAAGGGAGGGGGTGTACTCCCCATCAGGAAGCATCGGTGGGTGACCTGGCTCATCCAGACCCTACCATCATGGTGCCAGCCCAAGAGGCAGATCCCAGGAAGGCGACCCTTCCCTGCAGCAGTGTCCCAAGGGCCCCAGATCCCCTGCATGAACCTCTGCTCAGGAACTAACCCAGACAGACAAAGACATCGCTAGCATCCATCAGCAGAATGTTCCATGACGGCCACATCTCACCACGGAAAGGCTCCAGTGAGAGTCAGAACCACTGGGTTCTAATTACTAAACAACAACTAATTGCTGGGTGACAACATCTGCTGCCTACAGGAGACAGCCAGGTAAGGCTGGTGAGGGACAGCCAAGGGTCACCTGAGGAGGCAGTCACGACGTGCTCCGCTCAGCCTGGGGCCACGTAGGAATGTATGCACAGCATTGCCAAACTCATCCTTCAAAAGAGGCCAAGCATTTGGATTTTTGAGGGATGTTTATAAAATCACCCTACTTCAAGGGGCTGAGATGTCATCAAACAACATTCTGTGGGCAGGACTCGGCCTCAAAAGTTCCTGCCTCTTGGGGCTGGAGAGAATGGCTGGGCCACAGCAGTCAGGTCTCAGCTTCCCTGACTGGGCAGGGGGGAGGGGACCAAGGGTCTACTCCCATCTCTGAGAAAAAGGCCAGAGATGCCAGCCTTGCCCCTGGTGGGGCAGGGGGTATTCCAAGATGCAAGACCCAGTGGAAAGGCTGGGGGGCCCAGCTAGGCTGCCCAAGGTCTCCTGGTGGACAAATACGTGTGCTAGCGGCTAGGCCCCCAGGAGGTCACCTGTGTCACTGTCCGCACCAACATGTTCCTTCCACAGGCCAGGCAGGGAGGCAAGGCTCATACCACTTCTCGGCTCACTACCAACTCCCCTTTCTGTGGCTAAGCACCGGGTGTGGGGAGAGCTCAATGTCTCGAGCCATGGAGAGAGCCAGGGGTGCTGTGAGGAGGCAGCCACCCATTCTCCAGTCACACAACTGGTGATGGCCTGAATACCCATGAACACCCACTGTTAGAGGAGTGTGTGCATAGATACGATACATAGACTACCATGTAGTTGTTACAGCCATTTTTACCAAGTTCTGAATCACACAGGGAAAGGCTTATCAACATGTTAAGTTAAAGAAAAATCTGGGGAAAAAACAAAGTACAATACAAAAAAGTAGAGGTCTCTAGGGTAGAATTATATATGGCAAACTCCTCATATTTTTCTGTAATTATAGGTCTCTTGGGGCAGGTCTCAAAGTATATGTATTCTTCTTGCACTCTGGGTCCACTTCCTCTTGAAGAGTTTGGGGTCCCCCTCCCACACTTTACTCCCCAGACAAGCTGCTGCCTCAGCACAGGACGGGGTGTGCTGACCTCAACTGTCGCCTCCACCACTGCTGCCGCCACCACCAAGCACTCAGACCTCCACACGGTGAACGGTGAGAGCGGGTTTGCCAGCGTCTGCTGGGGGGACAGGATGCCAACTCCCACCTGTTGAGTCCCTGCTCCCTCTTGCATCACAAAGGGAACCTGGGTGCTCCTGGGCTCTGTTTGGAATTTCTGAGGGATGGGGGGAGGGCACCCAGAAGGAGGTGGCTGCAATGGAGCAGCTCCCATTGCAGGGTGGTTCAGGAAGGGACTGGCAAAGACCCCTTGGGTCACTGATGTCAGACAGTAGGTCATGGTCGGCTTGTCTCAGGCAGTGGGCGGCAAAGTTGGGAGACGTGATTGAGAGGCAGCACACTGACACCACAGGTACCTGGCCAAGGCACCCCTGCCTGCTCCATGGTGAGTGGTAACAAGCCAGCCTCCTCTGGGTCTGGGGGGGTTCTGCTTTCAGAGAGCTGGTAGGGAAGACACCAATTTTCTCCTCTTAAAGGCAGAGGGGTTGGGAAAACAGGCAAGAAGTCTGAGAGAAACAGAGGCCTGCAGAGAAAGCAATGGGAGATGGGGCCAGAAACAGTGCAAGCCAGGCATGGCACGATCAGAGGGCTGGGCCTTCACACATTCTCCACAGCTTGGAGCCAGCAATGGCCATCTATATCTGCAAGCCCCATGCGGGAAGGGTCCTAAGCAAGTGCCAGCATGGGGTCAGCATACAGTAGGTACTCAATAAATACTTGAAGTAACCACCAAGGGGCAGTGTGCACAGTCCTGAGCCAAAGAGCCAGGACAAAGGAGAAAGCAGGCGCCAAACCAGACAGCTTGCCGAGATGGTCCCAGATGGTCCCAGGACGGTGTGGACATTTACCCCAGGCTAAGGTAGGCCCAGACTTGGCCCATGCAACACCCCTCAGGGGCCCAGGCTCCAGAACAACTGAGTCGTGAGCTTGGTTCAGGGGCCTCAGCCCAGCCCTGCTCAGGAAAGAGGGAGCTGAGCTCCCTCACTGACCTGTGTTCACCTAGTGAACCCAGAAGCAAGCTCAGCAGAGGGTGGGACTGGCCTGCACAGGTCTGTTTCCTCAGCTGTCTGCTCCTGAAAAGACCTGCTCATTATCTCCCTACCTCCCACCAAGCACCACCAACCATCATCAGCTGTCAACTGAGGACAAGCGACAAGAGGGCTCTCTCAATGGCAAGGAGGAAGAAGGAAGGCTGGAACACATGGGATCCAGATGCACTCCAGGAAACTCAGCCCAGAGGTCAGTGGGGGCAGCCGCTGGAGCACCTCCTTTGGAACCACACTGCCCTTACTGGAAGGCCTGATCATGGCTCTACGACCACTGACCACTGACCGCTGACCAGGCCGATCTGGCCCTGCCCAAACTACCTTTCCTCCACTGCCAACCCTTCACTTCTAGGTCTTTCTGCCACTGAGGGACAGAGTACTTAACAACTCACATTCTCAAGCCAAACTGCAGGGGTTCTAATATAAATATCTTACCAGCTGGGTAACCTTGGATAAATCTCTTAACTTCTCTGTGCATCTTGCTTTCCTCATCTGTATAATGAGGCTATCTGGCTGGGCACCTATAGCACAGTGGTTACAATGCCAGCCACATACACCGAGGGTAGCAGGCCTGGGCCAGCTAAGCAACAATGACAACTGCAACAAAAATAATAGCCAGATGGGTGGCCCATGTGGCTCAGTGGGTAGGGCACCAGCCCCAAATACTGAGGGTGGCAGATTCAAACCCGGCCCTGGCCAAACTGCAACAAAAAAATAGCCCAGCATTGTGGCGGGCACCTATAGTCCCAGCTACTCGGGAGGCTGAGGCAAGAGAATCGTCTAAGCCCAGGATTTGGAGGTTGCTGTGAGCTATGTGATGCCATGGCACTCTACTGAAGGTGATAAAGTGAGACTCTGTCTCTACAAAAAAAAAAATAGCCAGGCATTATGGTGGGCATCTGTGGTCCCAGCTACTTGGGAGGCTCAGGCAAGATAATCGCTTGGGCCCAAGAGTTTGAGATTGCTAAGAGCTGTGGTGCCACAGCACTCTACTGAGGGCGACAAAGTGGGACTCTGTCTCAAAACAACAACAACAAAAATGAGGTTGTCTCCTTGAGGTTGTCTTGAGGATTAAATGAGATGCTATAATGCTGCTAGAACCAGGCTATGAAGGCAGGAATTTTTACCTGCTGTGTCCAGTGCTGTGCTCCCAGCCCCTAGAACAGTGCCTAACACACAGTAGGTATTCAGTAGGAAAAACACTAAATGCATAAGAGGCCAGGCAGAGCAAGGTCTATGGGTGAGGTTGGTAAGCAGAGCGTGAAGCAGGAGTGTGGGATTGGGCTGTGCTGAAGGACACTCAGGTCTGCCCAAGGCAAGAGCTGCCACCTGACTCCAGGCAGTGGGTGCCACATCTAATATTTTAGGACAAAAACGAAGTCCAGATTTTTATGTGGCTTTACTTAAGATCTAAATACTGGCAACTAATTTGATCTAAAAATCAAGCCAAGCAGAACTAGTAAATTCAGCAGAGTTGCAAGACAAAATAAAAATAAAAATCAACTGCGTTTTTATAGCTAACAATGAACAATCTAAAAAAAGAAATTAAAAAAACAATTCCATTTATAATAGCATCAAATATGAATAAAACACTTAGGAATAAGCTTAATGAAAAAAGGTTAAAGATTTATACACTAAAAACTACCAAATATTGCTGAAACAGGACCAATGCAGGGCTGACGCCTAAATCCTAGCACTCTGAGAGGGCAAGGCAAGTGGACTGCCTGAGCTCAGAAGCTCAAGACCAGCCTGAATAAGAGTGAGACTCCCACTTCTACTAAAAATACAAAAAATTAGCAAGGTGTTGCGGTAGGCACCTGTAGTCCCAGCAACTCAGGAGGCTTGCTTAAACCCAAGAGTTTGAGGTTGCTGTGAGCTATGAGGTGCCACAGTTCTCTACCCATGGTGAAAGAGAATCTCTCATATATAGAGAGATAGATACATATAGATATATAGATATTGCTGAAA